AGATCTAATTTTTTTATAACAATCGTTGGTGCTTCTATGTAATGAATTCTTCAAATAAGCCACCAGTGAGTATTGAACTCACGACCCCTGGTTTACAAGACCAGTGCTCTAACCACTGAGATATGGTGGCACACAGTACTCTAAAAAGATTGTTCGGCTGAAGATTGTGTCTCATCTGAAGGCTGATTACATAGAAGCGCTGTCCATTAAAAATAATCGTTTTCGTCAAATAAGCCACTAGTAAGGATTGAACTCGCAAACGCTGGTTTACAAGTCCAGTGCTCTAACCTCTGAGCTATGGTCGCACGCAGTACCATAAAGAGATAATTGGGCAGATGAATGTGTTTCTTTCAAAGACTTATTACATAGAAGCTCTTTCGATTATAAAACAAATTGATTTCTTCAAATAAGCCACCAGTGAGGATTGAACTCACGAGCCTGGTTTACAAGACCAGTGCTCTAACCACTGAGCTATGGTGGCACACAGTACTCTAAAAAGATTGTTTGGCTGAAGATTGTGTCTCACTCTGAAGTCTTATTACATAGAAGCGCTGTCGATTATTAATAAAATTGATTTTCAAAAAAATCAACCAGTGAGGATTGAACTCACGACCCCTGGTTTACAAGACCAGAGGTCTAACCACTGAGCTATAGTGCCAAGTAGTGCTAAAAAGATATTGTTGGGTTGATGAATGTTTTTCACTCAAAGACATAGAAGCTCTGTCGATTATTAAAAAAATTGATTTCTTCAAATATGCCACTATTGAGAATTGAACTCACAACCCCTGGAGTACAAGACCAGTGCTCTAACCACTGAGCTATGGCGGCACACAGTACTCTGAAAAGATATTTCGGCTGAAGATTGTGTCTCATCTGAAGTCTTCTTACATAGAAGAGCTGTCCATTAAAAATAATAGTTTTCGTCAAATAAGCCACCAGTGAGGAATGAACTCACGACCCCTGGTTTACAAGATCAGTGCTCCTAACACTGAGCTATGGTGGCACACAGTACTCTGAATAGATTGTTCGGCTGAAGATTGTGTCTCATCTGAAGTCTTCTTACATAGAAGCGGTGTCCATTAAAAATAATAGTTTTCGTTAAATAAGCCACCAGTGAGGATTGAATTGACGACCCCTGGTATACAAGATCAGTGCTTTTACCACGAAGCTATGGTGGCACGCAGTACCATAAAGAGATTGTTGGGCAGATGAATGTGTTTCTATCAAAAACTTATTACATAAAAGCTCTTTCGATTATAAAAAAAATTGATTTCTTCAAATAAGCCACCATTAAAGATTGAATTCACGACCCGTGCAGCAGAAGACCTGTGCTCTAACCGCAGAGCTATGGTGGTACGCAGGACTGTAAGTTGATTGTTGAGCTGTTGACTGAAAATATCTCTAAAGACTAGTTAGAAAGAAACGCTGTGTACAATAAGAAAATTGTATTCGTCAAATAAGCCACCAGTGGATTGAACTCACGACCCGGATTTACAAGAACAGTGCTCTAACCACTGAGCATGGTGGCAATACAGTACTCAAAAAAGATTGTTCGGCAAGATTGTGTCTCATCTGAAGTCTTCTTTACATGGAAGCGTCCATTAAAAATAATAGTTTTCGTCAAATAAGCCACCAGTGAGGATTGAACTTCACGACCCCTGGTTTACAAGATCAGTGTCTAACATCTCGAGGCTTGGTGGCACAGTACTCTGAATAGATTCAGCATGAAATTGTCGTCTCATCTGAAGTCTTCTACATAGCAATGCAACTGAACGAAGTACTC